TATTGGATTACTTCACCTTTTTCAATTTTATTTTTCAGTTACAGTTGATATTCAGTATTACTTTGTATTAGTTTCAGGTGTACAGCATATTGCTTAGACAATCATATATGGTATTTTACAAAAGTGATTTTCTATCCCTCACTATATGTCAAGTACCCATCTGTCTGTAATTTTCTTTAGCTTGTAATTTTGACAAAATATAATTAATTAAGTGAAGGAAGTGGACTATATAATTTCTCTTTCAATTGAATCTTGGGTCTTCATTTTCATGAAGATACATATCCATTTAAACACTACCTTTTTTATTTTTTTACTAGTACTGAATATAAAGACTTTTTTTAGTACTCTCTGTTGTTAGAAGGAGCCCTAACATCCCTGGACAGATAACTCAGTTGGTTAGAGTGTCATCCTGATATGCCAAGGTTGAGGGTTCGATCCCAAATCAGGACATACATAAGAAGCAACTAATGGATGCATAAAATAAGTGGAATAACAAATCTCTCTGTCTCTCTCTCTCTCTCTTCCTCTCTCTCTCTTTCTCTCTCAATTATTAAATAATATTTTTTAAAATAAGGAACCCTAAGAAAGAGACAGAAGTAATTATGGTAGAAAACTGGATCTGTCTAGGTTGTAAATCATTTTTTTTTAGAAAGGAGGAAAATCAGCATTGTGGACTGGCCCATTACAAGCATTTATTATAAGTTTGAGTAAAATATTCCTTTAATATTGGCTTTGAGAGAAACAGAATATTATAGGAGGATTATCTTACAGATATTCAGAATGCAACTTCTTTGCCAGTATGTTGTTTATAATTAATACATTTTACAGTAATGAACAATTTTAACAATCTGGAATGGCAACTGCATTTTAACAATTCTTTTCTGAATTGGAATACTTTGAAAAAAATGTAATTGGGATAAAAGCCCATGAAAAAGACTTTAAAAACAAGCTCTCTCTAGATGAAATTCAAAGATGTTTTGGCACGTGCTTCAGATCAGTGTGGCTTGCTGTCATCTATTTCATTCTTAAAAGAAACTGGACTGTCAGTGGTTGGTCTGAGAGGCATGGTGGCCTCACAATGGACAGTTTTCCCTTTTCTAATCTTGGGAGATTGACAATCTGGGCATGAAAAGATAAGGAAATACCTTGTGTCCACTACTTCCATTCTTTTTTTCACTAAGTCAGATACACACATAAAAAAAACCCCACTTAATTTAAACAAAATTTTTTAAATACTAAACAACCTACACTTTTAAATGTTATCAGAGAATATTATATTTTAGGATTACTCCGTGATGCTATGGTTTGTGAATAGAACACTAAGTAAATCTTCTGCTTCATAAGGCTATCAGTTCCATTCATTATTTTATGTTAATTTTTTCATAGTAAAATAAATGATGGGGCTTTTATATATAGTGCTTTTAAAACACCCCATAATTAAATCCAATGAAAACTACATTTAAGGAAGAAGGAAATTTACCAAACCACAAAGTGTAACTAGTCATTTACTTATGATTAAACTGTTTGCATGTTGATGAGGTTGGAAATACCCCAGAACTTCATTTTCTTGCTTCTTCCCCTCATGGTCTACCACTTACGATAGAAATGTTTAATTTATAATTTATATTTAGTATTGACACAATTGTGGCCATGTGGGTGTCATTTTCAATGATTGAAGTAAATTTTAATGAGTGTCTATGGCCTGAAATTTTCACACTGGGTGAAAATATGAGTGTCATGAAGCTTTTTCAAAATTTGACATAAAGAACAAGCAAGAAGATTTCACTGTATTCCCATTAAATTACATACATTGTGGCCTGGGATTTCTTGCTTTAGTACAAAAATGTTTACCCAGAATATTTTCAGGGAACCCCGTGTAGGGTGAACTAGAAGAGCTCTTGGTGAAGTGAATGCCATTGAAATTGTATTTGTCATAGTGTTTTTTACACCTGCTTACAAATGAAATTCAAGCGTGTATTTTGAATCGTGATTTTTACATCAATACCAACCCATTTTAGATTATAAAGAGAAAGTATCACCATTAGTTACCAATATTAGTTTTCTACCACATTCTACTCTGATCTAGTTGTTTTAGTCTGAATTTAAAAGGTCAATGATTGGACCCATATTTTTTCATAATTTCTTATCCCTGTCATTCTTATCATTATTGATGTAATAAGCTAATGTTTCAGAGCTGTTTCTGTACCAAGCATTGCTTTATCATTCAATCCTCTCCACAATTTGAAGAGGTCTGCAATATTTACAGTTGCAGCAGTGTTCGTATTTTGCAGATGAGGAAAGAAGTTCAGAGGAACATATTGAGGGTCACCAAGGCTAGGCACTGACAGGATCTGGTCTGAACTGGTTCTTATTTACCATGTCCCTACTGCTTTTTCTCCAAGAGGAAAATATTTAGCCTAGGATACTGCTTTTTATATCTGTTTGGTGCTAAAAATATGGAATCAGCTATATTTATAAACAAACATCTATGCACACTTCTTAGTCCTGGGAGGGTTAAGGCACAAATAGGTTTCTATGTTGAGAGGCTTGCTGGAGGAGCCTTATTTCAACGTTCCCGATGCCTGATGATTAAACTGGTTGAAGTTACCACTATCCAGGGCTGAGATGAACTTCAGGCAACCTCCAAAGTTCCATGAGACTGATGACACGCAGAGCAGTGAGCAGACACTGGAGACAGAACCAGCAGTCCCCATGCATTTGGTAGCTGTTTGCTAGTGCTCCCAATACATCTCCTATATCATAAGGCAAGGTTTGCACCACTTCAAAATAGCACATTATTACTAATGTATTTTAGCAGAAGGTACTTTTTCGAAGTGTGGATTCAGTTTATTTTGACCCAAATGCTTGAATGCTTGCATTATACCCACCTTGATTTTTTGCCAGGTCTTGGGTGGGGTTGGGGGTGGGAGTGGGGTAGGGGGTGTTAATGAAGTCTGTGTCTCCATTCAAATCCAGATTTCAACATGCACCATCAAACTCCTGAGCCAAAAGAATGATCTAGCTAGCAAAATTTAGATTCTGCCTGTTTTTAATATATATTGGGCATTTGGGGTGAAAAGTGAATGGCGGTGTTTTCAGATACCAACATATGACATTATACTTTATTTTCTTTCCTTGGATGAATATTGTATGCTCTGCAGGTGGCTTATGCATAAAATTCACTAATTAGATGCTAATCCAATTACTTAAGAGCCAGCTCTGGTTTCCATCAACTATTTTTTATAATCTTATTTGCTGTGAGAATCCTGAGCCATTTTTTATGAATCAATACATTGTAAAAGCATTATTGATTGTCATTTTCATGACCAGCATAATTGATTGCCTTCCTAGGGGGGCAGAAAGCTTTCAGAAGATCATTAAATGCATTAAAATCTGCAGATACCTACATGTCTGTGACTGTCTTTAGCAGGCTGAGTCCTTTGGGTCAGTTATTCTTAGCCTCGGTATTTCTATCTTATGGCATCGCAGGTCTAAGATTAGCTTGTTAGGCGTTATCATGCCATCTGAGTTACCTCCTAATATAACTCTACACTGGAATGATTATTTATAGAAAGAGCATTCTGTCATTTTTGGGTTATTTCTAGTAGTTTAAATAAAGAAGAATAACATTCAAGTGAAACCACAGATTCCTTCCTGCTGCCAAAACAACATGATAACTGTCTGCTTAAGGGGCAATAATGTTTAAATGTGTGTTTAGGGTGATTGCAGAGCTCGTTTTATCTCTGCCACCTTGACAGAGAGGGGAGGCCGTGGGGAGTGCTGGGTAATGCCGTGGAAAGGCAGAAGCAGCCTCGATGCCTCTGTCACAGAGCACAGAACACTCTGGTTGATGATGACAACAAGAGACACACAGGGTTTATTTTTAGAAACAGACATTGCTAAGCTCTCTGTTTGGTGTTAATGTGGCTTATAAATAGGACTGCTGGCTGTTGACCTTTCCAGTGAAAATGGCATTATATTCTACACACATGTACACACTCACACTTCTTTTTTCAACTGGCAAGAATATATATATTATTAAGAAAATAACTAGGACATTGTAAAGCTAAGAAATCTAAATTCTGTTAAATTCCTGCATTGGATATACAGTATTTTTTAAAATTTCACGAAGATTGGGTTTAAGAGATGGTGTATTTGAAAAAGCAATTGAATATTGTAAGTACAATGAATCTACAAGTGGGCTATAAGATGGGGGAAAATGGGTGGATGGACTTCATGAATGACTTTTAATAATTACAGTACCTGTAAAATAATATCACGTATGCTTTCTTCCAGCTTTATTGCAACAATATATAAAATATAGCTACAAAAGATCTGAAGCATTAATGTCAGTTGCTCCTTTAGGTAGGTGAGATAAAATTCTCAGTACATAGGAAAGTAGGTATTAGTCTCTGCTCGTTTTTTTGGTATAATGCTGAACCCAGATAATTTTATGAACAATAACATGTAGTGTCACATTTGAGAACTGTTCTCTTAGCTTACTTAAATTGCGTGCTTAATTCAGACCTTAGTAGTTGATATTTCACTATAAAATTAGAATTGTGATTCAGTCTGTTTAATTTGCATTTTATATTTTCTGATTATTAACTCATTGTTGTTAGATGATGACAATGTTAAAATAGTATGTTAACACATTTCATGTTACACATTAATTGAAGTGCTTTAGAATGGATAATTTAGAGCTCTGTAAGAATGTTCATAATTTTATTGTCTACTGAAAAATATATTTTAAAAAAGATAAATATTGTTGTGCTGTGTTCAAGATAAGGCATCGGATGACCATTAAGAATGTGCAGAATGACAGACAAAAACAGGAAGCACACAGCAATTCAAGTGTATTCTCAAAGAAGTGAAGATGTAAATAAATTCAGAGGGTAGGAGTAAAGGCAATTGTAGGAACCAGTTGCATCCTGGCTGCTCTTAATTAGCAGGTTGAGGGTTTGGGGAGGTGATGTAATTGTTTGAAGCTTTGGAAGCTGAGGTGAAGTAGTCAGTTATCTGTTCATTTTTTTCACTCAAAAATATTTGAGAGCCAACCATGTGCCTGTATTGTCCTTGGCATTGAGGATACAACTGTGAAACAAGGAGATACGTGGTTGACAGATTGTTCAATTGAATGATGGCTAGATAAGGCTACTTTAGATAGTAGTAAGGACTAAGGAAAAATAAAATTGAAAAATGTAAAGCTTTTTGAGGAGGCTAAGATGTAAAGAGCATCTTCTCAATAAAAGGAGGTTTTCTATCAACATTCCGTTTGGGCTCATTCAAACAGAATGCATGCATGGTTAAAATAGAGCAGAAAATGTTTTGGAATTCTTTTAGTCTCCACTTACCTCTGTCCTGTGCAAGGAATGGGGGAGCTTTTATCAGTGGGCAGGTGAGGAAGCCAGGGGAAGGCTGTTTGGTAGCCATGATTTCCTCTATTTCCAAAGAGACTGAGGGATCACTTCTTCCTAGGAGTAATGCTGTTGGCTAGAAATTAAGGACCGTTTAGTATCCTTTACCATTGTTCCTTCCTAAAGATTCATATCTGCCCGCGGTGTGGCTCAGTGGTTGGGTGTGACCTATAAGCCAGGAGGTCACAGTTCAATTCCCAGTCAGGGCACATGCCTGCTTTGGGACTCGATCCTCAGTAGGGTGCGTGCAGGAGGCAGCCTATCAATGACTCTCGCATTATTGATGTTTCTATCTCTCTCTCCATCTCCCTTCCCCTTTTAAATCAATAAAAGTATTTTTTTAAATTCATCTCTGCCCCTTATCCCAGTATGTTGAAATGTATTATCTAAGCAATATGAACCATCCTGGTAGTTTACTGAAATGAATAATTCCTCTTCCCTTAGGAGACAAAAAGAAGGGGTACATTATATCCTCATTTGCTGAAGTTAGAAGTCTAAGAACATTTTCTCATAAACACAATATTGCACACTCTTATAAAATACACTTATTGAGCACCTACAATGTGCCAAGTATGTAATTCAAATATATTATGGGTCACAGAACAACTTTTTAGATGGCTATAGAATGGTAACTTCCTTACAAGATATTTAGAATACATAGTCATTTGTGTGGAAGAGTGGATAGATTTGTGACAAATGGCTACAGTCGTTGAAAAGGGAAGTATTTCATGGAGGTGATAGTTCTGTTTTTGTTGTGTGTGTGTGTGTGTGTGTGTGTGTGTGTGTGTGTGTGTGTGTGTGTGTTTAAAAGGAGAAACAACAATGTAACAGCTAGGAGCTATTTTCCCCACACATTCTGCTTTCTCATGGGTAGGGAACAATGATGGATACACGTAGTAGGACGGACAAACATTTTTGAGGGACTGACACATTATCTCACATGCTTGATGCCTCATGGGGTTTTCCCTTGACATTCCAAGTGGTCTAAGGCAAATGGAATGAAAGCGCAATTAGAATAGAGCAGGAAGTGTTCTGGGCTATTTTAATCTCCGCTGACTTCTGCCTTGTGGAAGGGATGGGGAAGCCTTTATCAGCAGGTAGACAGGGAGCCAGGGAAGGCTGTCAGCTAAGATTCTTCTGGAGCTTCAAGAAGACTGGGACTGAGCCAGACTCCTGGCCAACATGCTTTGTTGGATTCACAGTGTAGCTTGAGGAAAATAGTTAATAGCTACCTTTATTTTCCCCCAAGGTATTTGAAAGCTAGATGTCTTGTTCATCTGTCATTGTTGTGTGTATAAATATATAGGAATAATTAGCTATTTCCTTTTTTCTGAGATACCCTTTGCTCCATTCCAGCTAGTCTTCACTGGGAGAATTCCTAACTCTTACAAAGGCCAGTTCCAGTGTCTCCAAATTCCGCCCCCTCCCACAATCCTCTGCAGTACTTCCCCAGTTATGTTTCTTTTCCTCTCTTCCTCCCTGCCCTCTCCACTAATACTTTATTATTCTCTTAGAACATTCCCATTTTTTTGTCTTACACTGTGTTATTTAAGTTTGTTCCCCCCCAATTAGTTATATTATAAGCTCCAAGCAGAAAAGGATCATGTTTTACTTCTATTTTTATTCACTACAGTGCCTAGCACATAATTTATCCCTGACACTATTTTTAAATAAATGAGTGAGTGATTAAAGAGTACAGTGGCATTGCACTATCTGTTTTTATAATTTTTTTATTTTTTAGAAATGATTTCTTCTATGTAGAAAATAAGTCCTCAGTTTCATTGTAAATTTGAAAAATATAGACTTTTGGGGAAAATGTTAGAGCCTTTGACTCAAAAATTAAAAACATCCATTCTAGAATGTAAGTCAAGAATGACCTCCAGTGCTTTGACAATATGTATATGACACTTTGAATGATTTAATTATTCTCAACAATCTTATTTGCTGTGGGGAATTTTGGAATATTCTTTTTTGACTTGATTTTTCAATGAATCATACCAATAGAAATTTCATGAGATATGTGTCTGCATTCCAATGTTAAGTGTGAAATAGCTAATTTAAGAGTGCCTGAATATAAATGCATACTTTTTATCCAAGAAGAATAAATTTGGTTGTGCCACTGATTACAGGTGTATTTTATATTATTTAGACACCCACTTCACACTTAATCCTGTTTTTCTCATTGTGATATTTTTATGTAGAGACAGTTTTCTTAAATCAAAAACAAAAAATGGACGGTTTTCTTTGGCTAACCAAAGTATCGACTTGAAACAGTACCTTACCTCCGATGGCTATTGAGGGCTCATCTGCATTATTCAGGCATTACTTAATTGGCTGTGTTCTTTGGGAAGGAGCAATGAGAGAAGATTTTTTGGTAAACACTTTGATAATCAAATTTCGAGTGCCAAGGGTATCAGTATTTAAAAAAAAATCTAACATAAATGTCAGAACAAGGAATTCACAGAGTGAGATATTAAGGGGAAAACAGATGGAAGGAATGAATCAATCTCTATACACAGCTATTCAAGGAGAAAATGAAGTAAATATATTTATGTCTAAGTGGGAGAGGAATGGTGAAGAGAATAAGGTGTAAGTAGGGAAGAGATGCATAATTTCATAATTTTTAAGGATTAATTTTTTTTTTGCTCTGGTTCAGACTTAAAAAACTCAGCACAAGTTAGAATAAACTAAGGGCATTAAGGCACAGAAAATTAATTGAGCTAGCTAATAATATAAATATGAGCCAAGCAGGGAGTTGGATAATAAAACCAAATTTTGCAATGAAGCCATGGAGCTCAGTTTATGAGAGCCCAGGGAACGAATGCTTCCAGCGTTCTCTCCGAGACTTTGCGAAAGCTGCCAATTGTGTTTTCTCATCATTGTGAGTGCAGGCTAAGTTTCTAGCTGCTGTAATAATCAGATTGAGATGGAACAAATCAAGACTGGCAGACTATGGATTTAGAAGTTCCCCATTCTCAAATTAAGAATTACCAAGAATTAAGAATTAGTTCAAGCCAGTTTCCAGAGAATTACAATGCAGTGGTGGGAGTTATACTCAATTAGAATAACACATTTGTTTTTCTGTTCTGAAAGTTGAATATGAAAATGTTCAGAAAAATTATCTGGATATCAACTTAACCTAATGTGTATATTGTAAGAAGGAAAATAATAGAAATAGCCTCAGGCAGCTGATGATTAAATATATTAAAACCAATGTTCCTACTCTAAAATCACTTCCTTCAGGTTTTAATCAAGAGTCAACTCTCACTATCCATTATCCCAAACAAATGGAATCTTCTGTGTCATTGACCTGAAAAGACCAATGATCGCTCTCGCTCTCTCTCTGTGTGTGTGTGTGTGTGTGTGTGTGCCTTCTCTCTAGCAGATAGTCTTAAAGCCTAATATGGATATAACTACCTCTAGAAAACTTTATTGTGAGTTCATTTTCATATGACTAAAAAATATATTAAATTGCCTTGTAGCCATCGGAGAAAACATCTTTCTACTTCATTATATGCTGTCCAGTCAAGTTCCTTGAGCACTTGAACCAATATGTAGTAGAGATTATCTTTACACTTAAACGGTCATATATGTGAAAACCATTTTTCCCACACCCATGCAGTTATTGGCTATTGTCAGACTTTAAGTATTTTTGCCAAGTTGAGAGATGAAAATTGGCACAGCATTACTTTTTTATGTTAATTTCTCTGATTTCTCTGGACTTGAATGATTTTTACATGTTATTAGCCATTTGGGTTTTGCTTTATGGAGAAAGACTTCTAAGAATACAAAAATGTTTAAAGGGAAAAAAAAGTCTATCAGTGAATGTCACCCTGTTAACAGATTTAAATTTTAAAAAAACCAAGATCATCTCATTTGATGCAAAAAAAAAAATTCAATAAAATGCAGTGACTTTTCAGGATATAAGCTCTTATTCAACTAAAAATAAGAGAAGAAAGTAAGGGTTTATCAACTACAATCCTTTATGAAACTTTATATTTACTTAGAGGCCCAGTGCACGGATTTGTGCACTGGTGGGGTCCCTCGGCGTGGCCTGCTGGGATCAGGCCAAAACCGGAAGTCTAACGCCGCCTGCCTATCCTGCCTGCCACTCCTACTCATCCTGACCCTGCTGCACCTGCTACTGCTGCCACTCGGTAGGCTCGCTGCCGCTCAGCTCCACTGTAGACTCTGGGCTGTGGTGTCCAGCCATGAGCCCTGCTTCTGGCACCCCTTGGTAGGGTGAGTGGCACGCCCACTGTGGGAGCACACTGACCACTAGAGGGCAGCTCCTGCGTTGAGCGCCTGCCCCCTGGTGGTCAGTGCACGTCATAGCGACCAAGCGACTGGCCACTCGGTAGGCTCGCTGCCGCTCAGCTCCACTGTAGACTCTGGGCTGTGGTGTCCAGCCATGAGCCCTGCTTCTGGCACCCCTTGGTAGGGTGAGTGGCACGCCCACTGTGGGAGCACACTGACCACTAGAGGGCAGCTCCTGCGTTGAGCGCCTGCCCCCTGGTGGTCAGTGCACGTCATAGCGACCAGGCGACCAGTCCAACAGGCAATCGGTGGAATGGTCGCTTAGGTTTTTATATATACAGATGGCAAAGATAAAACTCATTCTCTTTAATGTCAGGAACTTTGTCTTTGAAGCGTCTGGTCAGTGTTCTAAGACAGGAACATTCAATAAGGGTGTGTAAAGAAACTAAGTGAACTAATAGATAGAGTTCAGTACAAGGTGAGTACAACATAAAAAAAAATGGAAAGGATTGCTTTATGCGAGAAATAACCAAACACAAAACATAAAAAATGTGATACCATTTATAGTAGCATGATAAAATTATTGAAGGGCATGGAAGAAAACTGAACAAGTTTGAGATATGCTGCATCCATGAATAGGAAGACTATAGCCCTAAAAAGTCAGTTATTCTAAAATTAATTTAGAAACCTCTCTGTATTTAAAACAGCCAATTTTCTTAAAAAACAGATAGCATTTATAATACAAAAGTCAAATGTGCTTAATTACATAGTAAAAAAGTACTTCTCACTTCCTCTTCACCATTCAGTTCCCTGCTTCAGATAGCCTGATATCAATTTCTTCTCTACTTTAGAGATATATTAGTTCAAATTCAGTTAGAATCCTACCAGGCTCTGTCAGGGAACAGGACATAGTGATTCCAACCTTCAAGTGTAAGAGTAAGTGTGCATGAATGGCAATTTGGTAACACAGCAAAGGAGGAGAAGGAGATCTGTGAAAGCATACCAAGTGGTGTTAATGATAATTGGTGTGGGCAAGGACAAGGTCAAATAGATCAGAGGGCCAGAATAAAGAGTTCTGTTTAATGACTTTGTATATGATAGGGTTTGCATTACAAATCAGTAATGATAGACTATGGTTTGGGAAGAATTAACATATTCAATTTGTAAACTCATAGTCAGGTGATATTGTACTCAAAAATATCTATTTTTATAAAACCACTAGAGGCCCAGTGCACAAAAATTTGTGCACTGGAGGGGAGTCCCTCAGCTCGGCCTGCCCCCCTCTCAGTCCGGGAGCCCTCGGGATGTCCTACTGATGGCTTAGGTCCACTCCCTGCGGGAGGCGACCGGCGATCCTGGGAAGGTACTGCCCCCATCACCCCCTCACTGCTGCTGCTTCTGGCCTCCCTCTGTGGGAGGTGGCCGGGTCAAACAGGGGAAGGTGATGCCCCCATCGTGCTGCTGCTGCTGCCACTGCCAGCTGTCACGGCTACCTGAGCCTCAGCCTGGGCCTCTGCTGCGGCTTTGTCCGGAAGACGTCTGGTCTATTTAGTATATTACCCTTTTATTAGTATAGATTGTTGTCCAGTTGGACAACTTACAACTTAAACTTCTGCAAAGCCCATGCATTGTTTCATGGATGCAGGGTCTTCCCCTTTATGGAGGGATGTAAAGGAATTTTATGAAGGAACAGGAAGGATTTTTAGTTAAATTTAGCTAAATTAGGTGAGAGAAGTACTCAATATTTAAATAGCACACCAATTTTCCTGAGATAATTTGAGACTAATTTAAATAAAAAGTTCAGAGTTAGGAGAACCTTTACTGTTAATCAGAAATAAAAGGTTTTGTCATCACTTTACTGTTAATCGGAAATATAAGCGTTTATCATCAGTGTGCATTCCCCCACCACCACCCCACCACCCCAGTCTCTGCCTTGAATACAATAGAGGGGTGGTAATTCATTAAGGAAGAAAGATAGATAACGCTATCCTAAGGTGTCACCAAATAGTAGTTGCTAGCATTGCCTAAAAAGACAATGAATAAGTGAGTTTTAAGGTGAGACCTGAATGACTAGAAGATCCCAGCCATGCTAAGATGAAAGGAAAGGCATTCCAGGCAAAAGGAACAGCCACTGCAAAATATATATGGCTGTTTTCAGAATGAAGGCTAGCGTGGCCACAGCATTTTCCACAAAAACAGAGAGGGAAGGGTAAATAGTTAGGCCTGGGTGGCTTGAACATTGCATCCAAACTGTGTTTTGCAACAATCTTAAAATGATATACCTTCCATATTCCTAACTTGGGGTTTCACAAGCTCGTAAGTGTCACACACCACTATCTGCTGTTCTATGCACGCAAGAACAACTTGTGTTGCATGGCCTACTAGGTATGAAATAAGGAAAATTGGGTGTACTTGTTCAGTCACATTTTTATGGGCCTAGAAAGGTACTAAGAGATTTCAGGTTTTAATGAAATTGATGAAGAAACACCAGACTCTGGTCTTAGGGAGCTTATACCTTACAAGGGTGTTAGCTCAGGCTCTGCCAGTGTTTGTGTAAAGGTTGCTAATTTAGTTGTCTTCTCTTGGCATCTATAAACCATGAGGGGATTTGGCTAGGTTACTATTAGGGTCGCCACCTAATAGTCAATGTCAGTGATTCACCTTTTTAATTACCTAAAATGGATAGGTCACAGCATTCTATCTTTCGTGCACACCAAATGTAATTTGAGTCAGTGGTTAAATTGTCATGCTAACGGGTGGGTATAGAACTGTCAGGTTATAATACTACATATTTTAGGCTCAGAATGTATTCTCCTCTAGTTTATTTTAACTCGGTTCTGAAGCTTGTGCTGTAACTGGTTTTGAATGTCTTACCTTTCCCCAAATGTTATGGTTAGATGTGTTTACAAAGAACTATTAGTAATTGTTATGATATGTCTAGCTTAATTTGATACGTCAGAACCATCCAAATCATTCTCTTTCTCTGTCCATATACATATATACATGTGCCTGTATGTGTTTGTGTGTATACTAGTAATGTGTACACATATATAATACATGTAGTACAGTTATAATTGAATTTATATTGTATCTTCCTGTAGCAAGAGTCATGACATTCTTCTAACATAATAGAAGGAAAAATATGATGATGTATTAAACTCAGATGTGTTTTAGGACCAGTTATTTATTTCTGTTTTAGAAATGAAGATTATCACTTTACTGTTAATCAGAAATATAAGACTTTATCATCAGTGTTCATTTTTCCCCATCTATGCCCAATGATCGCATTTGAATTCTCTAGATCTCATTTAGAACTGCATTTCACTTTTAAAAGTTGGGTCTTATTTTGGGCTAATAAATATAACAGAAAAGTCTATTTAAATAGCACTATAGTGGAAATTATTACAAATAACCGGAAAGTTTAGTCGAATGCTTCAATAAATATTGCCAATTAAAATAATGAATGCAAGTCAGCTGCTAAATAGATAAGAAATCATTTCCAGTTATTTCCTCCCACAATTTATTTAAATCAAAATAATTTTCTTGGTAAAAACAGTATTTTGGAATAAGTAGCGCAGAATCCTTAGGAATTCTTTAATTCATAATTTTTTCTATACCCCAGTTTATAGTTAATATGGTTAGAATTTTAAAAGACAGAGATTATATTGGTTATTGGTCCTAAAGTCATATTTTATTGGGTTTTACACTTACTCTGGGTGATATTTAAATGATGCCAAAGCTACATGTTGCAATCAAGATAGCAACAGTATTCTTTCCTTCTTTCTCCTTCCAATCTTTTGAAATGTAATGCATGGAAATTTTTCTTTCATATGTTAAGTGTATTTCTTTGCTGAATATAGTGTGCCTCACTGAAGTATTCCCTTTTTTGCCAAAAACACATCAGTCATTCACAAATATTCAGTACTCTGAGAATGAAATTTTTTTTAGCAACTTGGGTAGTTGGAGAAAGCCAGTTTGCAAAGATTTCTAACTCCACGGTGTTTAATGTATCTGTGGAAGCTGGGGCTGAGATTAGCACCCAGCATAGAGGTAGAGTCCTAGATACATGGGACCCTGCCAGCTACCATATCATAGACCAAGGTTTGTAGCTGATTAGTAGCATGATGCTAATCAGCTTTGTATTTTGTGGATGAGATAAAAATGTATTACAGTTTTCAAGAACAAACTAGGTTCTGTCCCTGAACACATTCATTAACATTTCAGGAAAATACCTATAAAGTAAAAATAAAATCCTTGAATGAATTAAAACATGGAAATTCAAATAAGGAAAGCCAAGATCTAGAACAATGCCCGATACATAATAATTGTTCAATGAATGTTTGTTGAATGAGTAGGTGAATTAATAAATTGAAAATTATTTATAGCAACAAAAATTGTTTATTTTATTAAAATGTACATATACCTTTGTACTTTATGTTTCTAGGCCCCATTATTATACTGGGTTCTCTGAGTATATATTTTAAAAATCCAATCCTTAATTTAAGGGAATTAAAGCAGAGCCTCTCTTAATTTGTCATGATACTTTTATTAAGGGGATGTTGTTAGGCATTGTAGCTATGTCATAATTTAAATATGGAGATACTTCAATGACACTTAAGGTGTTTGGGGGCTGTTTCCTTCAGACTAAAGTGGCATTTGCAGCTGTGCTGTGAACTCTTCGTTCTCCTGCTGGCCTCTTTCTAGTGGACACATCCTGTTATCCTAATTTATTATGTGCAATAGAGTTAGTTAGGAAAGAGAATGGAATGTCACCTTATGATGCTACTCAATATCCTACTTACTGGGAACTCTAAAGGAAAACCCCAACTCACCCCCCCCCCCCCCGCCAGAAAAATCTCCACAGAGCAATATGATGTGTGTCAAGTTCAGATTCTAGTGTGACCGTAAATTGAGCATCTGCTCTGGCTTAGATAAAAAATCAAACATCATAGTGGTAAAAATGTTCATGAATAGATTATTTTAAAAGACCAACATCAGATTCTAGGCTTCTTTATTTTTTGAGAAAAAAAAAAATTCAACCCGCATTCTATAGAATTCTGATTTCCCTTTCTATAAACATGAATATTTAGTCCAATTCCTAATTTCTTGGCTCAAAACTGGTGACCTCACACATAGAAAAACTCACTTTCTAATGTGGAAAGGCAGATACGCCTGCAAAGGTCATGTGTGACGAGCTCCACGTGTTTATGGCATCAGGGACTTGCTAGGCTTCAGCGGACTGCCTGACATCCTCCATTCACTGCTTTCCACCTGAGTCTGTGTGCTTGCTTGTTTGCTTGCTTGCTTGTTTAAAAAACATCATCTATTCTCTTTCTGATTCGGAGGATGGAGGGTCGTCAGGTCTCCAAAGGCTGATATCCATCAGCGTTGGCTGGGGCGGCACCCTCACCTGGGCCTTGGAGTACTTTTCAAGCTCATTGGGGTTGTTGACCAGGGTTGGTTTCTTGTAGTTACAGGATGAAGGCCCTGGGGGTTTTTGTGGGCTGTCAGCTTGATTCATTGTCACCCTTGAGAGCAGTGGTTCTCAACCTTATAATTCCTCATGTTGTGGTGACCCCCAACCATAAAGTTATTTTCGTTGCTACTTCATAACTGTAATTTTGCTACTGTTATGAATCGTAATGTAAATATCTGATATGCAGGATATATATTCATTGTTACAAATTGAACATAATTAAAGCATAGTGATTAATCACAAAACAATATGTAATTATATATGTGTTTTTCGATGGTCTTAGGCGACCCCTGTGAAAAGGTCGTTCGACCCCCAAAGGGGTTGCGACCCACAGGTTGAGAACCGCTGCTCTAGAGGCTCTGCCACATCACATTCTCATTAAATACATGTTAAGCTTCACATTTCTCTGATTTCTTCTAATACTAGTCAGAGAAAACTTCTCTTAAAGAGTCCCATATGACCAAGTTAGGCCCACGTGGGTAATATCTTAAAGTCAACTTATTACTCACATCACCTTAATTCGTAACACGCCTTAATTACACCTGCAAATTCCGTAATCATGGAGGTAACACCAGGTGGGAGCCTCACATGAATCACCTTACAGTTCTGCCTTCCTCAGGAATTTTTTGAAAATGTATTATTTTTGATGCATTCTAGAGCCATCTCATCCTCCGGCTCAGCTCCAGTTACCAGCTTTGTGCCGATAACTCACCAATATCTAGCCTAAGCCCCTACCTCACTCCAGAACCTTTAGACCTGCATCAGCAACTCCCAATGTCCATTTAGAGGCCCCACAAACAGCTAACTTTAGAGACTAGATAAAAGACTAGTCACCTGCCTCAGTTTCTATGAACCTAAAAGTCCAACGAATGCATGATGAAAATGAGTTCTGAGGATGCTTAATTTCTTTACTATTCTCCACTTGGAGGTGCACCTAAAGCATGATCGCTTGCACGTGGTAAGAATCCAGAACATTGACTGGGAATGAATGAACAAGAGTCAGAGACCGCCCTTGAGCCATTTCCTCCCCTTCGTTCCCCCTCGCTGCACTCAGAGCCTGACACACCGCTCTCCCAGTTCTCCCATACGTTTGTTCTAAAGAATTAGCTATTTTCTTTATCACACCATCGTCTGCTTCTTGTGTTCTCTTGTTTTCAACCAGGCTTTTCTCACTGCTAATTTGGTCGTTTGCCAACCTTTAGGGACAAGCCCTTGCAGGTAGAGGAGTATAAGAGAAACCAGGGCACCTTAATTAAAGACGAGGCCCTTCATTCCTCTCTCCCACACCCCATTCTCATCCGCCAGGGTTATGACAACAGGGCGGACAGTGGACTTTTGATATTAACTTGGTGAGAAACAGGGCAGTGAGGACAGGAGTCTTCTTTCGCGTGTGAAGGAACTCGGGACTATACTTCTGCCACTGTGGTGACAGCTCTGCCGGCTGAAGTACAGGTTTTTGTTTTAAAAATACAAGTGATCCCCTTCACTTTCTGTTCTCGGTCCTCGCATTCACATGCTCACACACACTGTGTTCATTTTTCCCCCTTTTGAAGTAACAGGAGAAAGTTTCACCATAGACTAATAATCATATATTTTCTGTTTTGATTGAGAATTTAAAAGGGCATTATTCATTATGATTTCACATAAAATTTCATGTATTGGTTTATTGTCCCCCCCAGTGGTTAACTTTTGAGGGATCCCTTTTCTATAACTACGTTGACTTCTATTAATATGAACCCAAATCAATAGTTTGATGTAAACCAGAAAAACAGGGGGGAGAGAGGGAGATGGTACCTGGAGAACCCAAAAGATTCATGAATGGCCTTTAGGTAGTTTCTGAATCCTATGACATTTGCTTCACAGTAATATATTTATGCACATGCACATTTTTCTTGAGAGACTATTCTATGTCTAAGTCTCAAAGTCATGTGTGACCCCAGCAAATACAAGTTATCACTTGTAGAAGGAGTGATCACACATTTGACTGTTTGGCATCTCACACCTGAAGTCAGTAGTCCCAGATTAACACCAGGGGAGGCTATTAGGGCTAGGCTTACCCACAGCCACAGTGCACAGTGGCAAGCAAGATGTGCCCTCCCTGCACAATATTGAAAAAGTAGAGACAGAACTAAGACAAACAAAGCAGCCTAATCCCAAAAGGACCAACAAGCTTTAAGGGAACCACTGTGTCAGTGCAGTACGTGATGGGCACTTTGATGGCCCCCTGTCATCTTTAAAAACAGGAATATGCCTAATCTGTTGTGAAACAAGCCCCTTACAACAGTAAAATGAAATTTAAAATTATCCTATATAGTAAAAGCCTAATATGTTAAGTGTCCGACCATTTGTTCAACCTTTCGACCAGTCCCTATGATTCGCCCTGACCACCAGGGGGCAGACACTCCGACTGATAGGTTAGCTTGCTGCTGGGGTCCAACCCATTGGGACTGGGCGAGACAAGTCGGACATGCCCTGGAGCCCTCCCTCGGTCCCTACCCTGCCTGATCATGCACTGGTGGGGTCCCTGGGCCTGGCCTGTGGGATGGGCCGAAACCGGCTCTCCGATATCCCCAGAGGGGTTCTGGATTGCAAGAGCGTGTGCACCGGGCCTCTAGTTTCAAAGGAAAACTTCAGCCATCTGAAGTGTTTATTCCCAAGTGAATTGAAATAGGCATGTGAGATTGCGTTGTGTGTGACCTGACCCTTAAACTGATCCGATGATGGAAAATGAAAGTTGGTGTCCATAAGCCCAGTGCCTGGCTTATTAGTTTTACACACATTTGTCAGCTCTGCTAAATGATTAAACACTTTGTGTGGACAGTGATCCTAAAGCAGTGATGGCGAACCTATGACACGCCTGTCAGAGGTGACACCCGAACTCATTTTTTTGGTTGATTTTTCTTTGTTAAATGGCATTTAAATATATAAAATAAATATCAAAAATATAAATCTTTGTTTTACTATGGTTTCAAATATCAAAAATTTACTATATGTGACACGGCACCAGAGTTAAGTTAGGGTTTTTCAAAATGCTGACACGCCGAGCTCAAAAGGTTCGCCATCACTGTCCTAAAGCTTGGTTCCAGGGCCCTACTTCACAGACCAAAATGAAAAAGATGCTAGCAAAAATTATACTTTAGCTACTATGCCTTGAAAAAAAATAATTCCATTTATATTAATGAGTTTATGGGTGAGGTCATGAGGACTCATTCTAGGAAAGATCTCTTTCAGTGTAATCCTATCTAGAGAGAGTTAAATGAGTTATGTTTGACTTGGCGGCCTAAGTCAGAAGCAAATTACGTGTCAAATAATGCCACAGTTTTTTCACTAATGACAGACAGTGGGAAAATGGTTACCATGTGTCAAACATTAAAGAGGTTAATATCTCTAAGGTACAAATCTAAACTCTAAATCAATAAGAAAAATAACATTAATTTAGTGGAAAGATGGTCAAAGGTATGAAGAGCACCTTCATAGAGGAAGAACCAAAAATGGCCCATAAATAAATGAGTAGATGATCAATCTCAGTCACGATTAATACATTGATGAGGTGCTATTTTTGTGTCCATTATATTGGTAAAAGTAAAAAGACTCCTAATACCCAGTGTTGATTAGGGTTTTGAGTAAAAGGCACCCTTAGTGGAAGAACATACAGATAAAAACTGGTATGAGCATAATTTGCAGTACTATCAAAATTTAAAAAGTACATACTCTGCAGTTCAATAATTCCACTTAAATACTATACCAAAATACTTGCACAAATGCACAAGAATTTGTATAGGATATTTATTTGCAGTGTTATTTATAGTCATGATAAATTGAAGGCGATTCCAGTTATTGGACAAAACAAAAATCAATAGCCATAATCCATATTCTAAAATGCTAAATTAAAGTCATTAAATTTAATAAGTAATGACAATATATTAGGGAAGAATTGGATAGATATATTATTGAGTGGGGAAAAAACTCAAAATGTATTACTACATACATATAGGATGGTAAACTCAAGAAATGAGTCCATAATATCATTTTAGTGCTATAGGAACAGAATAACATTTTAAATAAGAGTATTTTAATCTAAA